AACTCGGTCGTCAACCCTCTCATCTATGGCGTCTTCAGCGTCCGAGTATTTCAAGACTGTTGGTAAAAAGTTTAAATTCCTTTTGACGTACAGAGTAGATCAAATGTCTCACTTATGAAATAATTGTAAGGGCATAGTCACCAATTTCATAGATAAAATTGCAAAAAATATGCTTTATCTCGAGTATCCTTCTTGAAAGACGAGTTAAAAATGTAGGGACGTGAAAAACGGAAACAGCATATGATATGGCCATAAGTCGTATTTCTCTCTTGGTGAAAATGTGCATGTTTGGGTTGTAGAAAATGAAATTTGGCTGACAAATTGGAACAGAAAACCATAAGTTCACATGTAATAATTTTATCATTATCGTTATTATTGTAAATGTTTTAATAAATTCTAGTGAAATTTAATCTCTTATCGAAATGTATATTCTCATCGGAACAGTTAAATTCTTTGAAGTAAGTTTATGAATTTAGGTCTTTTTGGCGGGGTCTTCAATTTAGATAAAGGCTTGTGATACGTTTTTTTTTTTCTCTCGACACGATATAACATCATCGAAGTATCCTGTTAGTTAATATCTGCTTAATAAATAGGGATATGCATGAGTTTGATTGGCAGACTCGAGTACAGATTCCCCCGGTACCTGTTCTTGTGGAAAGAATAATATTTATTAACTAATAATTATCTATTTATTAACTGATAATGGTAATATGCTCTTATCAATCCCTTATACCAATACAAGGCTCTTTTATTGTTATTTTGGAAGTTTTTATAGACAAGAATATTTTACGTATCGTGTAAGTTATGAGTTCCATTACATGTAATTGAAGTTCACACGTGATATAATGTTTATTGCCTAAATACATGTATAATAGGTACAAATATAGTCTGATCCTTAATAACAATATTTTTATAATAGAATCTCGTTTATAACAAAATGTAATATTATTTATTTTGAATGAAACTAATAATCTTAAAATAAATTATGGGTTTGATTTCGAAATGTATTGATAATTTTAATGTATCATTTGTATCAATTTTTAGTTTTAAAAATGGACAAACTTTGTTCGGTGCAATAAAATATTTTTTAATGCTCACACGTGTTGTCGACGTCATCTGGACAAAATTGGTTTTACAATAGAAATACCATTCCATATTATTCCTATTCAAATTCTCCTATTTAAAGTATTTGTAATCAATTATAATTTTTGAATTTTTCTTTTAATACAGGAGAAAATTCACCAGAGGATGACAGTATGCATGAAGAACGACACAAAATTCGATTTTATGTATACGGTGTTTAAACTTCTGTACAAGAATTTTTTTTTTTTTTGGTTTCCATGGTGCAGAGCATTTATATTGCCATATAAGACGATGTTATCTAGATAGAAATGAAAGGTCATTTATAACTTTGAACTTGTCTACAAACCTACATATACGAACAGTTATAAAACTATCAAGAATTACGGTGGTAATGATAAAAGAACATGATTTATTTTTTTTTTTGTACCACATCAGTTTCTCTAAATAAAGTATTTATATATTGCATAACCGGAAGATAATATTATGAGGTTTTTTTATTTTTTGAGGTCTGAATCATGAGGCAGACAATCAAAGAGATTCTTCAGATTATAAACAAAAATTTTTAGGGATTTTTTTCTTAGGGTCAAGAGTAATCTATGGATTTGCTTCAAGCAAAACTGTATATCGCCACTTGAATAATCACAATCATCGCACAAAATATGTTACCATCCGTGGTTCTCCTGACATTGTTTTCTGGTGCTGTGCTTTTTTGTGTGGTGTTTGTGGTGGCTGTGATGTCGTTGCTTGGAACCGTTGTTGAGTTGGAAATTGCAGTTTCATTGGCTTGAACATTTTGTTGACTGGTATTTATGGCTCCATTGGTCGATTTTACTGTGTTTAGGGATATAGTTGTAGTAGTTGTAGTAGATTGTGTGCTATTTATTGGGTCTGAAGTGGTCGTATTCGTATCGGCTGGTGTAAAGCCTGCTGAAATATTAAAATTAAGATGATACAACCCTTATGGTTTTTTTTTAAATATCTACTAAGGTACATGTATAACTTTGAATTAAAAAATAAAACTTACTAAATACCATCCACCCAAACGACATAATTGCCACAGTTATGAATGATTTGGCCATGATTTGGTTTATCTGCAATGAATGAGCATTAGCAACGTTGAAGCATTTTACAAAAAAATTGTTACGATGAGTTTAAAAATTGTCTTTTTTCTTTATTAAATAAGAGTTTTGTTAAAGTCTTCTTTTCTTCACTTAAAATTTGCAATTTTAAATGAAATATTTAGTAAAGGCTGTCAAATTCAATTATGCACGTTAAATTAAAACATGTTATTTTAAAAAAAAAACTTTAGTTTACGAACATATACACTTTAACAGGTGTCTTTATTATGTAGATGTTACAGCTTATTAAAAATTTACGTTCATTAGAAGAAATACTTTGTATACACATTGATTATGCTAAAACTTTGATATTGATACATACTGTTCTCGCTGCAACTAAATATCTACTCAAAGTAAAACTTGCACACTCGCTTACGTATTCTCTGTGTTGCTATGTTGCAGATTTTACCTCCTTTTTATGCCTTTTGTCTCAATTGTTCAAAATGAACCTGTTGTATATGACTTCTTGTCTGGTATCTACACTCAAAAGGTCCTTACTACTATGAAAAATGGCTTTTGATTTTTTTAGCTTTATCTTAGCAACGGCACAAATTTAACAAAGAAAAACGTTACGTTGACTCTTTCTTAATTGTTATTAATAATTATTTTGTATTATGCAATATTTATCGTGATTATTATGTTTCCTTGTCACAGCTAAATGTTGAATCTGCAGTAAATTTTGATATATTTATTTTGCGACCATTACTCGATAAAATTTATATGATTAATATGTTATTATTTGAAATTTGGCTCAATTCTGGCAAGGTATGAAGAATGTTGAATATGTTTTTTTTTCCTCAAAGTAGTTTTTGTTTGTTCTTTTGACTAGCACAATAATTCTACACGTACAGTGTATATGTTAATAAAGCTACAAAATTGTACATAGCATAATGGTTTTATATATTAGTCTTTAATCATAACTATCTCGCTTGTTTTCAACTTTATGTCATCCGACAAAAAATTAATAACAATGTAGATTATTGGTTTGAAAAGACGTTTATAATGGGTTTGGATAAAATATACAGGTAATTTTTTAAAGAGAGTATCTAGAATTAGAAAGTGAAAGGTAGTTAATTGACCAATGCTTAGAAAATGGAGAAATTCTTCCAAGCAGTGCAGAAAATCTTGCAGTTGGAAATATTGCACCTTACAGTGTATATCCATTAATACGGGATCTGTAGCGGCATAGTCAAAGATTAATATAAAATGCTATGGTAGCAAATGATAAAATTTCAGTAAAAATGGCTTTAAAAAGTTTAGATCGAACATTCACCTTATACAAATTCTTCGCTCAAACTAACAAATCGTTGAGTATCACTTTGAAAATACATTGTATATATAAAAAATGTATACTAGTACCTCTTGTAGAATTGTAAATACTGTAAATCACTTTTTATTCGCGAGAACTTTATTTTCGCGTAATTACGCGAGACAGTGTGCTCGCGAAAATTTAATTCTCGCGTATAATAGTATTCCTTAAGAATATATAAAGCAATAACCACAACTCGCGAAAATTTTGTCTCGCTAATCAAGAGTCAATGACTATCTCGCGAAAATAAGGTGTGAAAATTTAGTGATCTACAGTAATTCAACCTTTTTCCATATCTGTATAGATGTAATATATATATGAATGGCATTCAAGCTCAAAAATCCATAAAACAATACAAAATTGGAGCAGAGCAAATACAGTCCTCAAAAACATCAGAGGTGGAATCAGGGGGCATGGACGAGTGAGCACCTGATGAGTGCACCTTGTCATGACCCCCCGGAAACACCCCTGTCAACGTGCGATCTGCAACGCTGATGTGATCGGCAACACCGATCAAGACATTACAGAAGAAAGTATTCTAGGGAGTAACTTTTAACAGTTTTGTGTATGCTGGAGTGTTATCAGCTGTAAATACAATTTGAAAAGATTTAATCTAGATAATTATCTACAGTTTAGGATTAGGATTCACAGAGAGTAAATTTGTCAAATACTTTCTGAGCAAATGTTATCGATCAAATCGACAATATTCCAAACATCGAATTTCCGTGCTTTGAAATAGTTTATTGTTGTTATTATCTACCAACATTCCAAGTAATTTTTACGTAACGATTCTTGGAAGTAAAAACTAAATATTCCGAGAAGTGAAACTGCATGAATTATCCTAAAAACAACTTTTAACTTGAAAATTTGACAATCGCGAGGCGATCGTCAACGACATGTATCTTTTTTTGAAGCGATTGTATAACTACAAATAGCGATCGTAAAATTCAGAGTGTGAATAATAAACTTAAAATTAGTATTAAAAACGTCAATCAGCAGTTGACTTAATGATAAATTCTATTTGCTGACAAGGTCATTGCATCGACCACAGAACTTACGAAATGATGACTTTAAACGAGACTGATTAGATTTTTGTTTCATCAATTTTTTTGTCAATAACTTACCTCCTTTTAGAAATTGTTCATACGTACAGCATGTTCTTGCTTATCGAATCAACTGGTATATATAAACTCCGTATGCTGGTGATGAAGGTATATTGCTGCATAAATGAGGGAAGTTGACGATTGAAAAGTTAAAGTCATCATGTGTATCACAGAGCTTGGTTGATAGATTACCATTAAAGTCTTTTCCAAGTAAAATGTCTAAATATGAAACAGATGTGTCAGAATCTGTGTTATCTTTTATCTTAAGCTCACCGAGATATATCGTATCGACATAAGAATGAAAATAACATTGTTAATTGACAATACGTCGCCGATATATCTGAATGTCGAGTTGAAGGCCACAGCAAGTATTTTCTTCTTTTCACAGTTTTGACAAAGCCTGCTTCATATGAATACAAAAAAAAAGGTCAGCTAATAACGGGGGGCAATTAATACCCATGGGAATTCCAAAAGATTGTTGAAAGACCTGGTCTCCAAAACAACACATATATTGTCAATCAGAAACTCAGGCATCTTTTTGATGTCAACTTCAGAGTACTTGTGTGTACAATCAGAATGTTTTTTAACAAAATAATATTGCAAATTATTAATGACAAGGTAATTAAATTTACGAATTCCTTTTTTTTAAAGCAGCAGTCAATGATATCAAAAAGGCCTGGACTAATAATTCATTTTTAGAAGAAATAATAGAAATGGAGAGCCTTCATTAGATTTTTTTCTTTTTAATTAAAGAAAAATCAAATCTATTATATCCAACCTTCTCTCAAATTCATTTAATTAAGAATTAACGTCATTTAGTCGGTTTCATATTAAACGAATGACTCAATAACTTAAAATTTGTTTTGCTTCCGGATAAAATAATAATGTAGATTTTTCCTTCAAAGACCTGGTCATGTGTTGCTTATAACAACTTTAAGTGTTCTTTAAATCTTTTTTGTAATAAAAAGTAGTTTAAATGCAATTAGTATACATAAGTTGCTAATATCTTTAGCTTACTCGAGCTGAAGGCTCAAGTGAGTTTTCCTTATCGAAGTTTATCCGGCGTCGATCTTTCTCTCATCTGTAAACTTTCTTATTTTGGACGTCCTCTGCACAACCACATGGCCAATTTCAATCTTTCTAGCCATAAATCATTCTTTGGTAAAGGTTTCATTACCTCATTTCATTACACTTCATTACAACCTTTAGATTCACCGGCGGTACAAGGGTGCAAAATTTCACATAGAGATATTTAGGAAACATTTAAGAACTAAAGAAAACTAAAAACTAGAGGTACTGTGAGCGATGAGCTCACTAAATGATACCCCCCGCCTCCCATATGGTTATAACTGGTGAAAAAGTCCATGTTTTCCTGTGGCCGGGAAACCCAAAATATGTGCCGGATCAAAAAGTAAAATAGGAGGTGCACAATGGCAACATGTAATAAAGATTCTGTGAAAGTTTCATCAAATTTCATTCAGTGGTATGAGAGGAGTTGCGGATAAGAGATGGGTACCCCAAAGCGTAACAGACGGACGGACGGACAGACAGACGGACTGACAGACGGACGGACGGACAGACGTACAGACGGACGGAATTAACGATTACTATATACCCTCCCGCTTTTCAAGCGGGGGGTATAACAACAAAGCCATTATTAGTCATATTTATAAAAGATACTATACATTTATTGACTGAGTTTGAGGGCAACATGCGTTTTGTCGGACCAAAGAACCAAACTGTTTGCCTAAGGCCGTTAGGCCGAAGGTAGACAGTTTGCTTCGAGGGTCGACAAAACGCATTTTGCCCGAGAACTCAGTCAATAAATGTTTTGTTATACCTTTCATTTTATTTAATTTTTGATATAATTTTTGATATACATGTTTTTGTACTGTCTTCCATGATGTAACATCAGGTCCGTCACTGTTGAACACCAACGAATGAAATTGAGATTAAGCTCCACCCATTCTGTGACGAAAGCAGTCCAACATCTCACTGATCGGTCCAACATCTCACTCAGCGGTCAAACATCGATTTTTTTATGTCCGCTCAGCAAAAAATTTGAAATGTTATATTTTTTTCGTAAAGATTTGTAAAGGAACAAATTTCTAAAGGTGTAACGATATATATTGAATATCAAATATTGCCGTAATCGTGTACCTAATCTAAATAAATCAGACTTCTGATATTTGCGCTGTATGCACTCTGCACGGATTGATTACATTGATCATAACCCCTATGGTAAGGTGGGGCCATAAGAAGTTATCAAGTTTCACAAAAGAAAATGCAGGGGAAAATTGCTGATAAAGAACAGAAGAACCATAATTACTCAGGTGAGCGTTGTGGTTTAGGGGTCTAGAGCAATTCTCTAGATCTCAGGTATGCAAGCCATTACTTCCATCTTTTTTGACATGATAAATTTACTCTTTGTGAGGTCTTCAGTCGAACGAAGAGAGACGTTTGTACTTCAAATCATGTCGACAGATCCTAAATTCGTGCCAGTTTGCACATCTAGTAGTTACTTTATTAAGGATTAATCATGTGCAGTCGATTTCTGACTGGCATTATCACTACGTAAGTGCTCATTAATTCTAACCAAAATCCTTTGGATTTTAAGTGCCTTACATTGAAATGATTTACAATATGCTTTTGCAAAATCCCTTTAAAAGAAGAAACGATATCTATCTGTATTTATATTCAAGTACGGTTACTTTTTCCTTCACGTTTTTGCAATAAAATAAAACATGCAATGCATACATTAGACATTGAACGTCTAAAATAAAATCCTATTAAATATTCTTCCTCTGTAGTCTAGCTGAATACAACAGTACTGGAGGTGTCAATATAATTGAAAACTAGAGGTACTGTGAGCAGTGAGCTAACTAAATGATACCCCCACCTCCCATATGGTTATAACTAATGACATAATCCATGTTTTGCTGTGACCGGGAAACCCAAAATATG